AATTTTCATCCAAATTTGACGACGCAGATAACGAGTATTTTTATGGATTGGCCCATCGGTTTTTACATAGACTTATGTGCCCTGATGTTCTCTATCCAATGGTGAAAACCGCAGCTCTCTATGACTTTCCCTTCAAAAGTTATAAGAAATCTGCCCAAGCGACTTATTTTCAGAAATGGATAATAAGTTTTAAACTAAGAACAATACTCACAGTATATTCAGCCAAAATAAATGTAAATCTAATAGATTCACTGTATAAACCTTTCTAAAATTACAATTCTAGTGATAAATCAAAGTACAAATGACTCATACGGAACATGTAATATTTTTTTTTCATAATCTGTATAGCAGTTTAGTGAAAATTTTACTTGATGCTGGGTAATAAAAAGTTCAAAAACTATCTTTTATTGTTTGTACTGTTGGAATAGCATTTAAAAATTGATCATGTAATGTTTGTTGATCTGGTAATAAAACAAATGATACTTTTAATGAAACAGATTTTGTTACATTAATTTGATTTATTATTTCTTCAATTATTTCTTCTGCTAAAATTTGTTCCTGTTTACATGAATCAGGAACTGCAAATGCAATAGATTGCATTTTTAAATTCGCTTGTTGACTATCCATGATAACATAGTGAATTGATTTTGAAATAAATAATCGAATCGAATCACTTAAATGATCATCATTTGTTATCATTGTTGGTAATGACCAATTTACAAAATAGAATTTTTTTACAATTTAATTTTCCGCCAGTTGTTTCGGTAATAAATGGGATTAAATTTGTTCCATTTTCTTGTTGATCTGTTTGACTTAACGGTTGTTATTCAATGATTGCACCAGCTCGTTCAATTAAACTTTCTTTTAATCCAAATGATGTTGACGAAATAATAATAATATCAACCTAGAATTTATGATGAATAATTTAAAATCTCAATAAAATAAAAACAAACTTTTTGTAAAGCGATATCACTCATAAGAACTTCAATTGATCCATTAGTTAATTTCGTTTGATAAAAAACAAATGATGATGAACAGAATAAATTTGATTGTTCAATAAATGATTTTGATATGATCGA